CTTTTCATTTTCAAAATTTGTGGTTTAAAAGATACAAATATTTGTTTTAACAATGCTCTGGTGTTTTAAAATTTTTAGTTTAAAGGTAAAGGTAAAGGCCCTCCCGTTGATCGTCGATTTACTCGAGCGGGCCCAGTAACATCTCCATTGGAGACTTTGTTGTTACTGTGTCTGGCATATCGAATACTCTCGGTAGCTTGCCGGGCTCTCCGAGAGGGGCGGAGGAATCGAACTCGGGTCGGCCATGTTGGCCGCTTGTAAGGCGAATGCCCTACCCGCTGTGCTATCGCTCCAGCCCTAAAATTTTTAGTTTAGTGAAGCAAAATAGATTTTATTGAAAAACACTTAGAAACTTGTGAAACAGGTGTAGGGTGGAATGGAATATACGTTCAAGAGAGAACACTTGTTTAACAAAGCAAGCAAAGAGAGACATAGAAAAAGGAAGCACGGTATTTCGTCACGGGAGAACACCAGCTTGAGGACCAAGCCGACTTTGGTAGTTTAGGAATAAGAACTTAGAGTGGTATGAACTTAACTTGTGCACTTTAGGGGGAACCTGAGTGAAACTATTAGAAGTACGTTCAGGAGCATCATAAACTGGAGCCTGCACTTGGAGTGAGGAGGGTAAAGAGTACTTTGAGGAGATCTGGACTATGGAGAACAGTAATATTATAACATTAATGATAGTACCTTACCGTGGGATTCCAAAAATATCTTTAACAGTGGCGTCAGAAATGATAACATTCTCAGGTATTTGGATTTCCTGTGGAAACTACTGGAAAGCTGAGTTTATGCTCTGGATGCCTCCTCCTGAAACAAGGTCAACAAGTCATGAATGAAAAATTACAAGTTAGATGGATCAAGGATTCTGATCCCACTGGAAGGCTAGCTTTCGGGTGGACAATTTCTACTGATGGCCTGATGTAGATTATGATCCTGGGATACGTAACAGAAAGGAGGTAGTGACAGGTTTCCTCAGAAGTGATGCCTCTGAGACAGAATTCATTCGTGCCAACTTATGGGTTATCAATGTTTGCTCATGGCTGCTACCATTATAACATGCCATTCAATGGTATTGTGGTTTCAATTTAATGTGTCAATGTAAATTTCAAGTTTCTAAATGGAAGGTAAAAATCTGAGGCCCTCAAGATGAAGAATTATGCGGAGGGGGGGGAGCTGGAGCTATAGTACAGCAGGTAATGCATTTGCCTTGCACACGACTGACCCAGGTTAGATTCCCAGCATCCTGTATGTTCCCCCCAAGCACAATGAGGAGTAATTCCTGAGTGCAGAGCCAGAAGTAACCCCTGTGCATTGCCAGATGTGACAAAAAATGCAAAAAAAGGGATGACTTACCTTTAGATATTTTGAAGTCAAGTAGAAACAGCCAGAAAGCTCCTCAGAAAAGACTTCACCAGGGTCGAAAACATCATTCCCTCTAGCGTGAGAGGATACAGAAAATAAGGTTTCCATTTTATGCCAAGTTAAAGCAAGCCAGACATGATCTTGGAAAGTTTGTCAAAGGAATGCATGGCTATGGGAAGGATAAGGTGACAACTGAGTCTTAGAGGTAAAATATACAAAGGTCAAGAAGTAGGAGATATGGGGGCGAGCAGGTCTACTAAGAAAAGCATTTTTTTAAAAAAGAAAACGCAATGAGACATCAAATAAGACCTTTTTAAATGTTTAAGAACAGGGATATAACTCAGTGATAGAGCATTAGCCTTCCATTGTATGATGATCTGGGATTGATCCTTAGCATTGCAAACAGCATTATTTTTTTAATTTTTAATTTCTTTCTTTCTTTCTTTCTTTCTTGCTTGCTTGCTTGCTTGCTTGCTTGCTTGCTTCTTTTTTTGTTTTTTGGGTCGCACCTTGCTATGTATAGGGGTTATTTTTAATTTTTAAAAAAACTTATAATTTTAATTTTTTACCTGTGGTTTAAAAGGAAATCTAAAATATTTTAGAGTAAATATATGTGAAGAAGAATAAAATTCACGGGAATGATTTAGTGTTATTAATGATACAGCAGTCAGAATTTTGAGGTTAATTGTATGGGTATTGCGTAAATAATTTTTCCCCATTATGTGGGCTGTCTTTTTATCATGGTCACTATTTTTTTCTGAGTTGCAGAAACTTCTTAGATTAATGTAGTCTCATTTGTTTATCTTCACTTCCTCTTCATTGGTCAGTGGTGCTTCTTTCTAGAAGTTTCCCTTAGCTTTAATGTCATGGAGGGATCTTCCAACATTTTTCTCCATATATCTTAAGAATTCAGGTATGATATTGAAGTCTTTAATTCATTTGATCTGACTTTGTTCCTGGCACTATAAAGAGGTCTGAGTTCATTTTTTTTGCATGTTGCTTTCCAGTTTTCCCAGCACCAGTTGCTGAAGAGACTTCCTTGCTCAACTTCATATTTCTTGAGCCTTTATGAAAGATTAGGTAATAATAATCTGAGGGCCAGCGTCAGGATATTTGACTATACTCCATTGATCTGAGACCTGTCTTTATCTGAATACCATGCTATTTTGATTACTACAACGTTGTAGTAGGGTTTGAAGTTGGGGAAGGTGTTCCCTTCTTCTTTTTACCAAAGATTGCTTTAGCTCTTCATGGGAGTTTATTGTTGTGTATGAGTTTCAATAGTGTTTAATCTATTTCTTTGAAAAATGTTATGGGTATCCTTATAGGAAGTGCATTAAATCTTTATAGAGCTTTGGGGTGTATTGCCATTTTGACAGTGTTAATCCTCTCAATCCATGAGCATGGGATGTGATTCCATTTCCTCATATCCACTTTTATTTCGTGAAGAAGTGTTTTGTAGGTTTTTTTTTGGGGGGGGGTATAGTTCCTTAACCTTTTCAGTTGATTCTAATATACTCGATTTTCTGAGGTATTATTGTGAATGGGATTGTTTTTCTCTGTCTCTTTTTTCTCTTTCATTATTAATATATGGGAAAGCCATGGACTACCGGATATTGATTTTGTAATATGCTACTTTACTAAACAAATCTATTGTTCCCAGGAACTTTTTTGTAGATTCCTTGGGATTTTCTAAGTATAGTATCATGTAATCTCCAAATAGTAAAAGCTTGAGTTCTTTTTTATCTGGATGCCCTTGATATCTTTTTTTTTTTTTACTGAAATCATATGGCAAGTACTTCAAGTACTATGCTCAATAGGAGTGGTGAGAGTGGGTAACTTGTTTTGTGCCTGATTGTATTTTGGGATTCTAGCTCATTGATTTCTGCTCCAAGCCTTTAGTTTTTCCCCATTGAGAATAATGCTTGCTGTGAGTTTGTGGTAGTTTGCTTTGACTATATTGAGGAAAGTACTTTCAACTCCCATTTTGTTGAGAGTTTTTCATCATGAATGGGTACTGGATCTCATCAAGTGCTTTATCTACATCTATTGATATGATCATATGACTTTTATCTTTATTTTATTGAGATGGTGTATTCTGTTGATTGACTTGAGAATCTTAAGCCATCCTTGCATCCCCAAGATAAACCTACTTGGTCATAGTGTGTGATCTTTTGTTGAGTTTCTGGATTCTCTTTGCTGGTATTTTCTTGAGAATCTTTGTATCTGTATTCATCAAGGAAATAGGTGTATAATTTTTTGTGGTGTCTCTGTCTGATTTGAGTATTAGGGTGATCTTTGCCTCATAGAAACTATTTGAGAGTATTTCTGTTTCTTCAATTTTCTGGAAAATCTTGAAAAATGTTGGCAGCAGTTCCTCTTTCAAGGTTTGAAATATTTCACTATTGAATTCATCTGGGTCAGGGATTCTGTTTTGGGGGATACTTTTGACCATCATTTCAATTTCCTTGGTAGTGATAGGCTCAAGTATTCCTAATCCTCTTGGTTCAGCCTTGGGAGGTAATTGGAATCCAATAATTTATCAATTTATTCAAGATTCTCTCATATCCTACTGCAAAGATTCTCAAAATAATTTCTAATCATCCTATGGATTTCATTAGTTTCTATTATGATATCCCCCTTTGCATTTCTGATTCGATTTATTAGAATTCTTTCTCTTTGTTTCTTTGAGAGGCTTTTAGTGGTTCGTTGATCTTGTTTATTTTCTCAAAGAACCAGCTTTTGCTTTTATTGGTCTTCTTTATTGTATTTTGGGATTCTAGCTCATTGATTTCTGCTACAAGTTTTATTATTTCCTTCCTCCAGCCTAGTTTGGACTACTTTAGTTGGTCATTTTCCAAAATCTTGAACTCTAATTTATTCATGTAGGCCCTTTCTTTCTTCCTGATGAATTCTGGCAGAGCTATAATCTTTCTTCTTAACACTGCTTTTGCTGTGTCCCACAAGTTCTGGTAGCTCGTGTCCTCATTCTCATTTGTTTCTGGAAACTTTTTATTTCCTCTTTGGTTTCTTCTCCCAGCCAATGGTTGTTCATTCCTTCCCTTAAATAAAATATTTCCTTGCTGAGCTTTAGTCTGTTTGATCTATTGAGAAGTGACAAAGTAGTGTTGAAATCTCCAACTAGATTTGTGTTGCTATCAATGTTTTTCTTTAAGTCTATTAGAAGTTGTTTATAAGTATTTTGCTGATCTGTCATTAGGAGCATATACATTAAGGAGGATGAGTTCTTTCTGATGTACAGATCCCATGATCATTAAGAAATGACTTTCACTGTCTCTTATTACCCTTAGCCTTAAGTCCATGTGGTCTGATACTAGTATGGCCACTCTAGCTTTGTGGAGGTGTTCTTTTCTTGAAGAATTGTTTTCAGACATTTACTTTGAGCTCATGGTTGCTTTGATTGTTCAGATGTGTTTCTTGCAGGCAGCAGAATGTTGGGTTCAGTTTTCTAATTCATTTTCCCATTCTATGCCTCTGAATTGGCACATTTAGTCCATTGACATTGAGAGGGATTGTTGTGATGGGGATTTGTGCTATCTTTATGTAGAATTTTTGTACTTGTGGGGATTGGGGTTGTCTTAGCTTAAAGTAGCCCTGTTAATTGTTCTTGCAACAAAAATATGGAACGCTTTACAAGATTTCATGTCATCTCTGTGCAAGGACCATGCTAACCTCTGTATCATTTCAATTTTAATATATGTATTACCAAACCTAGTATGAGTTAATTTTTCCATATTTTCTCTTCTTATTAGTTGTAGTGTTGTCCTTACTCACTCCTATGGCAGACAGTAATTCCTAATCAAGGAATGTATTTCAAAGCAGCTTGAATAAATATATTTCAAACTTTAATGTCCCAGAAAGAAAATATGGTTTTTACCATATTATTTTTTACCATTTTTATGACATCTTATTATCTCATTCCTACTTTGGACAAACTTGCAGGCTATCAAATGTAGTCTGCCCACAGGGCAGAGTATGGCAAACTCCCCGTGGCATACCAAATATGCCAAATACCAGTAACAATGATGGATCTCATTCTCCTAAAGAGTCGTGAATATAATCTCAGGGCTAGGATGAAAGAGACGTTACTGGGGCCTGCTCGAGGCAATCGACGATTAACAGGATGATGAAATGAAAAAATGAAATGAAAAATTTTTACCATACCCACGGCATCAGTTTTACAAAATAATTCTTTTGGAAGATGGTATATGAGTCTTGTTTAATGCCCTTCCCTGAAACCTTCATTAAGACCATTAAACTAGAGCCTTTTGCTGTTCTCACCTCAGTCCCATGTACATCTCCAGAAAAAGGTGGATGGTGTTGTCTGCACTTTGACCACCTTGATTGTAAGTAGGATTTTTCTCCTGAAGGAAGAGGTGAGGAGCATATTGATGATTTCATTCCACCTTATTACAAGTTCAACTTGAACGGAAGGTGCGACTCATGAGGCTCCTGTAAAGTACAAATAAAAGGGTTTCAGTGAAGTTTAATGGCCAACACACATTAACAACACAGATGACTCAAAGTAGCCTGTGTGCATCTTTGTGTATAGTGAGTTTCATATCTACTGATAATGATTCTCAGTCATGACACACGGGCAAAAGTTTCCAAGGATTCCAAGGTTCTTGATTATCTGAGGCACGATTGTGAATGGGATTGCTTTTTCATGTCACTTTCTTCTCACTCATTATTTGCATATAAAAAAGCCATCTCGACTTTTGGGTATTGATTTTATAGCCTGCAACTTTACTATAAAAGTCTATTGTTTCTAGGATTTTTTTTGGTAGAGGTTTTAGTATTCTCTAAATATAGTAGGATATCTTCTGTGAATAGTGAGAGCTTATTTCTACCTTTCATAAATGAAAAACCCTTAATATCTTTTTCTTATCTAATTTCTATTGCAAGTACTTCCAGTACTACATTGAACAGAAGTGCCAAAATGAATTTGTACTTAGCACTTTCTGTCTGTAAATTTCTATGCTAAGAACAGTGGAATAAACTGTGATATCTTAGTAATTTACAAGTAAATTATGAAGACAGATAATATAAAAGAATTTCTTTGTATAAATTTCCAAAATGTGTAGCTTTTATTAAATATATTAAGAATAAATCGTATGCCTTGACTATACCATGAAGATTATTTCCCTGTTAGTAGTTACCCTTATAAAATGCAATAAAGTGACACATTTTGAAAATGTTGATTATTCGTTCATTAACTCAATGAATATTTGTTAGTCTGGTGGTGCAGTGCCTCCAGGAAGTCAACCTGTACCCTCAAGTGAGTGCATCAACAGTCTGATGGTGTCTTCATGCTTCCTGATAACCTCAAGTTGCCACTGTGCCTCCGGCTGGATCCCAACACCTCAGGACTAAGTTTCCCGAGAAATTAAACTCCCGAAAGATACGTGGGAGCCATGTTCACAAACCAACCCTGGCTCAGCTATACAAGCTAATGGATTGGTCTTGTTTCAGAGACCCATAAACAAATCTTGAAAGATATCAAAAGCCACAGTTGACCTTGGACCTGCAAAAGGCTGAACACACTAGGGTAAATCGGAGGGAGGCAGGTTAGTTTGGTGCCCACCCAACCAGAACCCAGTGCAGCCACTTGCTCCCACAATCCAAAATCGCCACTATGCCCTCGTCTGATTTCCACCGTCTCAGGATGGCTCTCACTGAAATATAACAGCTGAAAATTCGGATATGCGGGTTTTGTGACTGAAATCTCCAGGCTTTCTCTGGGTCACGATGGGCATCACACCCCCACTGCCCTGTACTTATGGAAGCCTCAGCAGTCATTTCCATACCTCAAAGCTACTCAAGCCTTACCTTCCTGATAAAAATACTAAATTCCTTGAACAAACATGATGACCTCTTAGTACCTGTATGAGACCCATAATGCACAAAATAAAAAGGAGACAGAGAGAAAGAATTAAAGAGCCTGCCATAGTGACAGGCTGGGGGTGGGGGTAGGGTGTTGGGGGATGGTTTTAGGGAACCAGGAACATTGGTGGTGGGAAATGTACACTAGTGGAGGGATAGATGACGGATCGTTGTATGACTGGAAGCAAATTATGGATAGATTTGTAATGGTCTATCTCACAGATATTCAATAAAACATTAAAAATGTATATCCTTAATTTGTACCTCAGACTACTGATAGAACTTTAAAACCCAGCATATCTATTTTTGTGTTCTGTGTAGGAAAAAAAATGTTACTCACCTGTGTGCCAATAGCTTGAGGAATGCTAAACCCAAAGATACATCAATGACTGTCTTTTTCATGAATACTGTAATTACAGCTATGTTATGTTTTAGAATCAGTTCATGGACAAGAAGTCAAGAGGAGCAGTGGCAAAGTGCATCAATGTTGAATGGATAAATAATGTTTGAGGAGCTTGCAAGGGAGATGGAAAGATTTACCATGAGAAGAGGGAAGAAACAGAAGAGTGAAGTACTAATAAGTATCATGAGAAAAATGCAAGGGAGGACATTTCCTGGCAAGTGTCACACTCTGTTGAGCTTTTGGTGAGGATAAGTATTAGAAAGTATCTTTCCCATTTAGTGGTAAAAAGGTAACTTTGATGGGTGCATTTAAAAATTACTTTAAAAATTAGAATCACTAAGAGATACACATTTACAAAGTTGCTCAGAATTGAGTTTCAGTCATCTAACGTTCTAGAACCTTTCCAGTAAATTAGAGGCATTTTTGAAGGAATATCCCTGTTGCGAAGACTAGGGCATCTGAATCTTAACACATTTCACCAAATATATGATCTGTACTCATATGATTTACACTTTCTCCCCTGCTCTTTACTTTATGTTTTCATCCAATATTTCCTTGTGAACCTCACCTCAAGTGAGGGTCCCTATTTAAGACAAGTACATGTTTCTGGGGCATTATATATTTTTGGTTGCTGTGAGAGTCTCTAAGGCAATGCTCAGGAGGTGTGGGGGCCCCACAGACAATTCTCAGAAAACGTGGCCATGGTGCTTGGGGTCCTCCGAGGCTATACAGCCTTTGATACTCTGGCAATCAGTGGTGCTGGGAGTCAAATTCAGTGAATGTGAGGCAATTTCTATAATCACTACACTATCTCCTGCGGCTCTGGGTATTGGATTGATGTCAGCATTCCGAAGTCCTCCCTTTTGTCAGAAAGCAGAGACTCAAGCAGGGGAAAGTGGAAGAGGCTTTAGGGTTTAGCTAGGTTGACTGAGTAGATAGTGATACCAATAAGATTGGAACGGAAAGTAAAAATAAAACAAGAGCCCCGCTCCTTTTCCCGCTGAACTGGACACCCTCCACAGGGGGACACCTGCGGGGGACACCTGCAGCAGCTCCATGGACTGTCCATCACCTAATCAGTTCCTCCCCTCCAGGTGGGTAGGGGGAACACAAGCCAGTTCCACCGCTCCTCACCCCCAGCCCTGAGCCTTTTCCTGCAGAAATGGACACCCTCCAGCAGGGGACACCTGCAGCAGCTCCATGGGATTTTCCATCGCCCCTCCTCCATTCCAGGTGGGAGTGACCCTGGGATGGGCCATGGGCGTGGCCACCATGTATGGGGCGTTGTCTCCCAGAAGTGGGCGTGGCCTTCTCCTGGGTGGACAGCCGCAGTTATATTTCCCAATCTGGGCACTCTGTACTTTCATCCCTCACTTTGTCGCCTAATACCGACTAAAAATTTCTGACCACCTCTACTAGAATACAACAACATCCCACTTGCCTACTCCATTTCTAACAGAAGACCTGTATGAAATGTGCTGTACAAGCTGAAAACTAAAAAGTACCTCCTCCAAAGCTTCACTCAATGTCGGTTTTAAAACAAAGAATAAGGCCTGATTGAGAAGATGGTCGGAATCTAGAAAGGGAGAAGTTTGGCTACCATCGACCAAGCTTATCCAAAATCCTTTCCCATGATAAGAGGGAACAGTACCTGTGATTTAAGGGGTTTACCTCTAGGTAACCAAAACAATATGAAGAAACAGCGCAAATCTCCACCACAAGGAGAATATGAAGAAAAGAATCCCGAATCCTCAACCGAGGTTGTCCACAATTGCGCTCTCTTTGATAAAGAATTCCAGGATAAAATGCAGAGGGTGTTCAAGGATCTACTCAAAGAAACAATGGAAGAGATATCCAAAGACTAAAAGAAGAAATGAAAGAAACAATAGAACAGATAGTCAAGAAAATACAGGAAGAAAAGAGAACAGAATTAAAAATAGCTACAAAAAGAAGAGTTACAAATAAAGTATTCAGTGGATGAAATTAAAAAGTCAGTAAGTACCCTTAGCAATAGGATAAGTGCAGCTGAAGAGAGGATCAGCGTGCTTGAAGATGGGCAACAGAAATCCCATCGGGAACAACAAGCAATAGGAAAAGACCTCAAAATGGCTCTAAGGAGAATCAGAGACCTAGGGGATGACGCCAAGAGGAACAACATTAGAATCATTGGGGTACCAGAAGGACAGGGAGACAACCCCAATGAAAGAGCTAGAGTCAAAGAAATCATTGCTCAAAAGTTCCCAGAGTTAAGGAAAGCAGACATCCAGATCCAAGGAGCCAGAAGGGTACCAGCTAAAGGAGACCCCACAAAAAACACTCCAATATATATCATAGTCAGAACGATGGATGCTGTGGAAAGAGACACAATATTACAAGCAGCATGGTCAAAGAAGGAAATTACATACAAAGGAGCACCCCTTAGATTCACAGCA